TCTGTGCCAGAGGAAGCCTGGAGAAGCTGCTGGAATACCTGACCTTCCTGTGTATGCCTGCTCCCAGCAAAACACAGATCTCAGAATAACTCCCTCAAACAATGTGGCCATAGTCAGGGTGAGGTCAGTGACGCCACAGCTTTCCCCTCCAGCAGCCCTGAAGCCACAATAAATCCCAGTGCCTGCATTTGCTCCCGGTTTTTGGCTCATTGTATTTAAGGAAACAGCCAGCGGGAGGGGGAATTGTGGCCCAGAATAAATCCCAGCCTGAAGGGTTCAGATTTTGCTGCTTTTCATAGAATCAGAGAATTTGAGGGGTTGGAATGGATCATTCAGTCCCAACCCCCTGCCATGGGCAGGGACACCTCCCACCAGACCAGGTTGTTCAAGGCTTTATCTAACCTGGCTGTGAACACTGCCAGGGTTGGGGCAGCCACAGCCTCCCTGGGCAACCTGTGCCAGTGTCTCACAGCAAAAACTTCTGATATCTAACCTAAATTTTCCTCTTTCAATTTATCCCCGTTACTCCTTGTCCTGTCACTGCAGTTCCTAACAAGGAGAATTCAGGGAATTCAGCAGAAGACTTTGTGTTTTGTCCTGGCTGTTCCCAGGGAGCAGGGATGGGCACCTGCTGAGGATGGTGATGCTGCTGCAGCCCCTGTGTGGCCATGGGTCTCACTGGAACCCAGAATGTCCCTGTGGTGCTCTCAGCCGGATACTTGGGCAAGAAAACAGAGCTTGGACAATCAAACTGGAATTCTTGCTGCCTGCACCCCACTTCCAACCCACTCATAGGGGGCTCAGCATCACCTTCATGCACTGCTCCCAGCCCGAGGTGCCACTGCGGGATTTTAGAGCATTGGAACCCCAGTGTTGGCATCAATGGACTGCAAACAGCTTGGTGTCCATATCCAGCACCCAAAAAATATGTCTGGGTGCCGGGTGAGCTCTCCCCCCTCCTCCCAGCGCGGAGAGGGGCTGCCAAAAATCACACTTCTTGTTTTAGCTCGGCTGAACTCGCCTGTGTTCTGCGCTCGCTTCGCCTCCTATACGTCAAGCTGCCGCATATGCTGCCGGCGCCAGAGGGAAGTGTTCTGCCAAAGCCAGTGCTAAGCAAGAAAAGAGGCAGGGAAGGGTTTAGCTTTCGGCTGCCAAACCCCCTCTGCAGCTCAGGGACCTGCAAATCCTCCAGCACAGCTCCCGGGGGACGCAGGTGCCTGTCAGTGCCATCTCTGTGTCATCCCCTCTGAGGCTCTGCAAATGCATCGCTGCAAACCAGGACTGGAGCTTAGGACTCAACCACCTGTCCCGAAATGTTTTCCTGCAGGAAGAGGCCCGGCGGCAATGCTAAGAATAGCACAGGGAAAGGCATGGATTGGGATGAAGCTGTGACCCTCTAAAAGCACTGTGACAGGTCTGCCTTTGTGCCACGGTGCTTTGATGGAGGCTTTGAAAGAGAGAGGGAAGGTATTGTTCTCTCCTGCTTTTGTTGGCAGCTCAAATTCCTGTTCCCTGCTTCCCTCCAGCCCAAGTTTGGCCTTTTCCTCCTGCAGCTATCAGCTCATTTATCCCCCAAACCAGCTAAACAGCATTGTAGGCAGAAGGTGATGGGATGATTCTACACCCACGAGGACACACCAGCGCTTTGCCATCCCTCGTTTTCCATGAGTGATGCCAATACGCCCTTTTGGATTTTCCAGTGGGAATTTGCACAACTTCTCATTCCTGAAGGAGCCAGCCTGAAGCAGGAGCAGCAAACCCAGGGCTGGAGAGAACAGGCAGGTGGGACATGGAGAAAGGTGACAGGGGAATAGAGGAGACTGAGGCCACACTCAGCTCCTGGTGAGAAACACAGCACTCACCTGCTCTTATCCACTCTTTATTCCAATCATCCACTTTGGTTACAGATCTGAAAGGGTTTTTTTTGGTAGCTGTTGTGGTGGTTTTTTTCCTCTCCTCTAAATCTGAACCCACCTTGTGTAACATTATAAAATTCTCCAAGTCCAGTAATCACCAGTTGATAATAAATAGGCATTTGTTAGTCCACAAAGTTAAAGTGCTTTGAGAAGGGATGTAAGAAGCTCTATCCTAGATTCAGAGGGGGGGGAATATCTTGGAAATGTAGTGCAGTAGGAAGCTCTGGCCTGTTGTCCATAATGTGTGGTCACGAGAGGCACATGGCATCTCCCCCTTGCCCCAAAACCCCCTCGGGCACTCCTGAGTGAGCAGGCACGAAGCAGGAGCTGTGCTGCTGTGACAGGTTATTGGAAGCATGAGATAGGTTCCACCCACCCTCCCACAGCCCGAGGTTGGGGGGTTTCAGCCTGGGAAAGGTTTGGACAAGGTGTGGGATCACCACCCTTGGCAGGGAGAGCATCCCGGGTTTCACAGTTTAGTCTTGCTCGGAGACCTCAAAGCCCAAAGGAAGCAAACTCGGGGCCTCCCCTGGCCCCTCACTCAGGGGGGAGAGGCAGAGCTGCTCTGGGCAGTGGGGACAGCCACAGCCCCCCCACGAGCCCGGCAGCATCGCCCTGAGATCCGCAGCCAGACGCCTTTTCCCTGAGGAAGCGCAGTTGCTCTCCCGGAGGAGCGGTGTGGGGCAGGGGCTGCCCTGCTGCCCATGGAGAAATGCCCTTAGCTGCCTGCAGAGGATTTGTGCGTTTCAAACATCTTCCCAGGGCCTCCCAGTTTGCTTTGGGCTCTGCTTCCACCTTCTCTTCCTGGCCCCTTCCGCCTGTCCTTCCCCACACCCCAAATCTAGTCATCTTTCAAGGCTTTTCCATGCAATCTGCTAACTTTGTGCCTGCCCTAGCAGGTTTCCAGCGCTAATTCCCAACCTCCCTCCCACGTCAAAGCCAGCTGCAAACACAAAATAAGAACCCAAAGCCCAAAACCCTTCCAGAGCCCAATTCTCCAGACTGGAAGGGGCCTCCCAGGCGACACTGGGAGTGTTCCAGCTGCTTCCCAACCCAAACGTTAGCCACTAAAATCTTGGAGGCCTCAGTCCCCACTCAGAGCGAGGCACAGCTCAACCAGTTGGGAAGGCCAAGGGCTGGCTCCTCCTCTTCATCACATGCACGTTCCCAAAGTGAGGATGCGCCATGCCCTGAGGATCAGTGCATGCACATCGGCAGAAGTCCCCTGGATGTCCACACCCACGGCAGGATTGGGATAACGAACTGCCAGGGAGAGGCTGGCACCGGCACAGCGAATGTCCCCTGGGTGTGAGGGCACTCTGTCTCCAACCCTGCTCCATCCGGCCCTGCAGTCACATCCTCCTCACCGTGGCTCTTCCAGCGATGCCAAAGATGGAGAAGGTGCTGCCCAGGACCTCTTTGGGGACAGCCCAAAATTAATGTCCAAGGAATGACAAGAAAACAGGGATCTCGCCTCAGGAGCGGACAGCAAGTGCAGGAGGAGCAGGGTGGTGGGAACACACTCGTGTTCAGTGGAAGAGCTCCACCAAAGCCACCACCAGGAGCAGCTGCAGCCATGAGGCGAAGGTCGTAGTGGCCTGGCCCTTCTGGGAGAGGAAGCGGAGCTGGTTGACCAGGCGCTCCTTCACCAGGGCCTGCTTGAAGCCATCCTCCTCCGACACGCACATGTAGTGGCCGTAGTGACCGTGGCTGACATTCTGGATGAAGTGGAAGCAGTCCTGCTGTGGGTGGGTGGTGTTGCAGGTCTTGATGAGGCTGTTGTTGTGGTACCAGTTGTAGGTGGCATAGTGGGACTCAATGGGACAGTTGAGGTAGTAGCGGGAGAAAGGGACGACTGTGATGTTCTGGAAGTCGGCTACGGGAAGAGATGGAGGAGAGGATGAAGCAGGAATATTCAGGAACCACAGATTCCCACACAGGACCAGTTGGGTTGATGGGGACATGCCCATGAACTGGATGATCCCGACAGTCCCTTCCAACCCAAAGCATTCCATGATTCTATGTTGCACGGACAATGGCAGAGCCTTACCAAAGCATTCCATGATTCTATGTTGCACAGACAATGGCAGGGCCTTATCCTTACCTGGTGAAGTCCTTGGAACTTTTCTCCCAGTTTAATCCCTCTCACCCATTATCTAGCAATTAACTCCAACCTGATGTCTTGATTTCACTCCCAGTTCCCCAGCAAAGAGCTGCCACACCATGCACAACCCATCCAAAAACTGGAGAATCAGCCATCCTGCCTGCCACACCATGCACAACCCATCCAAAGACTGGAGAATCAGCCATACTGACCCAACCTCACCCTGGGCATGTGTCCTATGGCTCAAAACCTTTACATACCTTCCTTAATATCTCCCTTTTGGCAGTTTCCTCGCTTTAAGTCCGAGTTCAGGTTCTGAAGCACCTCCCTAGCAGATGGGAATGGGAATAAGCATCAACAGAACCTTGGGGAAAGGGTGTTTCAGTCATAGGAATCACCCACATGAGCTGGAAGTTCATCACCTGCTAGCATTGGGGTAGGGGAAACATCACTCACACTCCCACTTAGGAGTTTTGTGATGACAAATGCGAGACACAGCAGCAAAAAGAGGGGCTGGGTGCTCAAAACCCCCTCAAGGGAGGGATGGATCTCTGCAGAGATATCCCAAGCTTTTGGGGACAGCACAGACACCTTCCGGGACATGATGGGCTCATCTCTCTCCATGATGACCTCAAACCCACATGTGGCCATGGCCAGGAAGGGGAATACTGAGGCTTTGGGGGTTTCTCCCATGGGAACAGTGGGCTGAAGACGTGGAGCAGTGGGGTGTGGGCACCACATACCTGTTGTGGTATACGGACTGACAGGTGCCATTGGCCCATCCACAGTAGGGGTCCCTGGCCAGCAAGCAGCTGTCACAGTTGTTGCGATAAGCTCTGCACATGTCCATGGGGATCTCCAGGACTTCCCTTGTGGAGCCAACGTACAGCACAGCCTGCAGGAGGAAAGGAGAGGATGATTATCCTGGCACTATGTCCCACTGCTGCCTGCTGAGTGTCACAAAAAGGACATGGAGCTGCTGGAGTGAGTCCAGAGGAGGCCAACAGAGACGGTCCGAGGGCTGGAGCACCTCTGCCATGGAGCCAGGCTGAGAGAGCTAGCAAAGGCTCCAAGGACACTTTACTTTACAGCCCCTTCCAGTGCCTAAAGGGGCTCCAAGAGGGCTGGAGAGGGACTTGGGACAAGGACCTGGAGTGACAGGACAAGGGGGAACGGCTTCCCACTGACAGAGGGTAGGGTTAGATGGGATATTGGGAAGGAATTCTTCCCTGTCAGGGGGGTGAGGCACTGGCACAGGTTGTCCAGAGAAGCTGTGGCTGCCCCATCCCTGGAAGTGTTCCAGGCCAGGTTGGATGGGGCTTGGAGCAACCTGGGCTAGTGGAAGGTGTCCCTGCCCATAGCAGGGGGTGGGACTGGATGAACTTTAAGGTCCCTTCCAACCCAAACCATTCCATGACTCTATGATTCACTTCCAGCCCCAGGGGCTGGCATTAAACCATCTGTCCCTGTCTTCCCTACTGTCTGATTTTAAAGCTATGGCCCAAACCACTGTTTTCCATGCCACGGAGCAAGCAGAAACCCACCCTCTTGTGGTCCAGGATCATGGACTGGATGGGATCCTTCCTCGGGAAGACCTGGAGCTCCATGATGTTCTGCACCCCATCTGGCAGCTCCACGACCTTGTGGATGGATCCCTTGTCTAGGAAGAAAGAGAGAAGAGCTCTGATGAGTCACGTGAGAGGAGGGGGGAAGCCAAGCAGAGACCCAGCCCTGCTCCAGCCCTCACTGGAGCAGACAACACACTGTGCAGAGCCAGGCCTGACTGGATTCCTGACACCAACCACCCAGAGAGATCAGAACCTTTCCCAGAACCTCCCATCCTGAGGGAACAATGCTCAGGAATCCTCATTGTCTACTCTCTTGTATAGTTTCCCATTCCCAAGTAGAATCACAGAATCAGTTTAATAGTCACTCCCTTCTCCACCATCACCCAAAAGGAGGGGAAAGATGGACCCCAGCTCATGCAGGGATCAGGACCCTCAGGTGCCTCCATGCCCACCCCAGGAGAGTAGGGAGAGGATCTGTCTGGATCTTGGATCAAGCTCTGCAGGGACTCTGCAAGGCGTTAGCTGCATTTAAGCTCAGGCTTTGGAAAAGAAGAACAATCAGAGCATGTGTGGGCCCTAATCCAACCCAGGCCACCTACTGAGAGCTGTCTGCAGCTTTTTAATCACAGATTAGGAATTTAAAAGTCCCTCCACAAGTGCCAGGGAACAGATTCCAGCACAGTGCAGAGAAAGGGATGAACAGGGAGGTAGGCAGAAAGGGGAGATGACAGAGTGGGACTCTTTGGCAAGAATTTCTGCTTGACAATGTAAAGCTACACCTGAGGAGAGATGTGCTACACCTCCCTTGCCCTAAAAACACTTGCCCTGAGACGTCCCACAGGTTGAAGCAGCCCAACTGGCTAACTCCCACGTGCTTGGGCTTCTGCTTTCAGCCTGACTTTGCCTACGCAGCCAAACTGGAAGTATTTAACTGTACTTGGGACTTGGCAGCTCTTTTCTGCTTGACAAACATATGCCAAGCTGGGAACACAGCCCCTTGTTCGCTCTGCAATGAGGGGCTCATCTGCTTCCCGTGGGTTCCCTATCCTGGAGGGGAAAGCTAACTCCAGGGAGCTCCACAGGGAATGGTTGCCAAGTACCTGTTGCCAGATAGAGCACGTTGTAACGGTGTCCATCAGCTGCAGAGACCTCGTGCACCCCAATCTTCTGGTAGCGGTGCTTGTTGTGGAACAAGGGACTCTTGCTGGGGGACAGAGGTGCCACACGGGCCTCCACCTCAGGGTGGCTGTCAGCAATTTTGAAGGTCTCACTCGGGGTATGCTGTCCTGAGGGAGCACACTATGGCAACAAGGGACACTGTCAGAGTCAGGCAGGGCACTGAGAGGGAGATTGGAGGGTAGGAGAGTAGCAGGGCACAGCATGGGTACTTCAGCCCCCCAGGAGGGGCACAGGTGTGTACACAGATCTGTACTGGGGGGAAGCAGAAGCCCTGGGGGCAAACACCAGCCCTGGGGGTAAGCACAAGCCCTGGGGGCAAACACAAGCTCTCCTGGCCTTGGGCCCACCATTCTCCTTGTTGTGGGGCAGCTTTCAGCATTCACTCACCTGCCCAGGCTTAATCTCTGGGCTGGGACCATTATAGCCTTTGAGTCTGGATGTCTGAAACACGTTGTCAATGTCCCCAAAGGAATAGACACAGACAGCAGAGCTTCCCCTGAGGACAACAAGACAAGAGGAGGTCACGGAGACCCTGGCCACCAGCCCTACAGCTGGGGCACAGCTGTTTTCCAGAGAGACTAAAGGGCTGGAAGGAAAGATGTGGCCCATGGGACAGGGCATCCCCCTCCCTGTTTTGCCAAGGCCCTCACCAGGTGTTTGTGAAGAGCCCATAGGCTTTGGACTCCCTCCAGTTGCTTGCAGGGACAAAGAAGACATCCTGCAACCAGTTGAAGTTGCCCTTGGTGATTGGGTCGACACAAATCAAGCTGGCCTTCAGGAATGTGGTCCACTTGGAAGCAGAGAGGGAACTGGTTCCTCCTTTATCTTCCTGAGGGAGAGGGAAGGCAGAGAGTCAGGGTTTGGCAGAGAACACCACAAAGTTCCCATCTTGGGAGGGATAATCCCCCCAGCATCTTGGATGGATAATTGGGGGATGGTCCATAGGTATGTCTGGTGCAACAACCATACCTCCAACATCCCTGCAAGAGAGGACAGGGATTTCTCTTCCCAGGGAATGGGAAGGCTAAAGTACATGGCTATACCCCACACAAACTCTGTGGCAGAGGAGAGAATTGAGCCAGAGGGGCCAAACCAAGCATGGATAGGACCAGGGGAGTTGGCATGTCCATTTCCCACCCCCATTCCCGTGATACCTTACACAGCTGGGCCACTCGGGAGATGTTCCTAGGGGCCTCAGGACTCTTATCCGGGTTGTCTTCACGGAAGAAGTAATAAATCTTGTCCTGATGAGGCTCTTCGTGCCTTAATGTGGTGGCTTTGACAAACTGAGGGTCTGAAAAGGGAAGTGAGCTGTCAGGAAGCCTTGACTTGAGCACACAGATTTCATCGGAAAAGCCACCAGTGTGGGCAAAGCAGTGACCTGCAACCAAGCACCCACCCCAGCCCAGGGGAGGGGATGCAAACATAGCTATGTCCTGGGCTGCATCCAAAGGAGTGTGGGCAGCAGGTGAGGGAGGGGATTCTCCTCCTCTACTCTGCTATTGTGAGGCCCCACCTGGACTACTGCACACAGTTCTGGTGTCCTCAATATAAGTAGGACATGGAACTGTTGGAGCAAGTCCAGAGGAGACCACGAGGCTGATCAGAGCACTGGAGCACCTTCCCTACAAGGACAGGCTGAGAGGGTTGGGGCTGTTCAGCCTGGAGAAGAGAAGGTTGTGTGGGAACCTCAGAGCAACCTGCCAGGAGCTGAAGGAGCTGAAGGAGCTGCAGGGAAGCTGCAGAGGGACTGTTGGTTAGGAACTGCAGTGACAGAATAAGGAGTAATGGGGAGAAATTGAGAGAGGGGAAATTTAGATTAGATCTTAGGAAGAAGTTTTTTCTGTGAGGGTGGTGAGACACTGGCACAGGTTGCCCAGGGAGGCTGTGGCTGCTCCAACCCTGGCAGTATTCAAAGCCAGGTTGGATGAAGCCTTGAGCAACCTGCTGGGTTGGGACTAGATTATCTCTAAGGTGCATTCCAACCCCTTAACATACTATGATACTATGACCTGTGCTCCAGGGACCAGACAGCTCCAAGCCCATCCTCTACACCTCACCTGTGCATCACACCAACTGCTCTTCACCTGTCCCTTCCCACTGCTTCCCCTTTCTCTGTCTCCTGCCCAACTCCATGGACTCATTCCCCTGAAGGCCAAGTCCCCAGAGCCTGGTGACACCTTGGCTGCTTAGCAGCAAAGGAAACCCATCTCCTTTCTCACCGAGGGAGCTATTATGGGAGAGGCAGAATCCCTCGGTGGGAGAAAGTCGTGCTGTTTGTGTTTGCCATGGAAAACCCAGTGATGTCGTTCCTATGAACACACCTCTGCCATGCCAGGCATCCCTGGCAGTGTGGGGTCCCTCTGAGAATCATTAGTTGGTGGCCCCATGGCAGGGAGCTCTGTGGCAGCACAGGATCAGCTTGGCAGCTCTGGGGCTTTCAGGTTTGGTGTGGTTTCCCTCTCCATTTCCCTGCACACATAAGCTCTGGTTTACCCTGGTGTCATTTTGATTGGATCTCCCAATCTCCCATTTCCTGGTATCACTGGCAAGACAACATTCCAAACTCCTGGAGATGGAGGAGGGTCCTTTCTCTCTACCACCACCCTGTCCCCTGCACAGCCCAATGTGTTCCTGCCTCAGGGTCTCCCCCTGGCCTGGGGATTTGGAAAGAGTCACTGTTCGGAGTGGAAGTTGTTCTTCCCTTTTCCAGAAGCACAGGGCAGCTGATAAACACCTTTACACAACCCTATTTCCTTCTTCTAGCAACTCAGAGGGGACTTGCCACCCCCATTTCCCCATCTCCTCACACTGAGGAAGAGGAACTTACTTATCAGCTGTTTTGTGACAGAAGCAAAGAGGTGAAATCCCCTCCCAGCTGGAGGGGACAGCTGGGCCCCCCCTTACTGGCACCATGGGGAACACAGCAGCTCTCCCTGCAGCTCCAGGGGT